CCTCATTACCTACCTAGAGAACTTTACCTCAGGGCGTTTCACCTACACCTCATTACCTACCTAGAGAACTTAACCTCAGGGCGTTTCACCTACACCTCATTAGCAGCACCTTACTCACCTAGAGCTAATAGCGATAGGTTTTCTTCACCCAAAAGGAAATATTATGTAACATACGGAACCTAGTCGAAGTGTGTGTGTGTGTGTGTGTGTGTGTGTGTGTGTGCTTATTAGTGTATGTTTCGTGTGTGTTTTTTTTACTGTAATTATCTGTAAATGTGTACATGGAATAGTTGTGTATGTCTGATTAAGGTGGCGTGTATGATGGCAATGTGTAATTATGTATGTCTGTGTGTGTGTGTGTTTTAGGATAGTATTTGTGTAGGTTTTTGTTTTTATCTGTATAATTTATCATACGGGTTGGCATGTGTATATTTACAGTATATTTACATGTTTGTGTGTGTGTGTGTAATCATCATCACCACCACCATCATCACCATCACCATTATCACCATCACCACCACCACCACCATCACCATTATCACCATCACCACCACCATTATCACCACCACCACCACCCACATCACCACCACCATTATCACCACCACCCACATCACCACCACCATTATCACCACCACCACCCACATCACCACCACCCACATCACCACCACCATCAACATCATCATCATCCAATTCAGGATTGACCATGACCCACTTCCCTCACCCGTGACACACTTGGCCTAGTCTAGGAAAACCACCATATAGTGTTTTATGGCGGGCGGAACTATGGCGTTTTAGTGGCAGCGTGGCGGTCATTGAGGATCATGGGGCGTTTGATACATTTCGGAGGCCACGGGACGTCTGATAGCTTGTAGGGAGCCGTGATGTGTGTCTTAATGGTAGGGGAAGGTAATGTGTTGATTTATTGTAGGTAATTGTTGTAGGGCGGGAGGGCAGGTAGGACACGAGGTAGTGGTGGAGGTACGGTCGATGACGGGCGAGCAGAGCAGCGCACCAGTGTTGTGTGAGTCAGTGCTTGAGCCAGACAGTCATTGGGTCCGCCGCAGTAGGGTAACTCAGCGCCTTCGTCAGTGCAGTGCTGTGCGTCTCAGGAAGCAGTCGCCTCTTTTTCTCTCTCTCTTTCACTCTGCTGCTAGCGTCATATTGTACAGGTGTGTGTGTGTTGGGGAGGGGGGGGGGGCATTCCACGATCGGAAGCTTACTGCAGGTGTTATGAGTTGAAAGTGTTAAAAGGTATCGTTAACTTTGTTGTCATCGTAATCAAATCAACATCGACGAGGAGAATAGCACCGATACTGGGAAGATATAGGTCACGTAATCGATTCAGTGTTTATATCCGGGGGGTGAAGTGAAGTGAGAGAAGTAGAGAACATCCAGCTTCCTCCATCTAGCCCCAGCCACCGTTAACCTTCCATGTCGAAATAATTAACACCTAACTCCTCCTTTGCCAACACCACAATGGGGGTTTTGTGGGTCAACTCATAATAGAGATGATGTGTGATATGGTAATGAGGTGACCACGAACCCAGCCATTAGTGGGGATAAGTTATCGTCAAGGTTCCTCCCTCTGTTTGAGTTGAAGTGATAATTAGCCATAGTAGAATATGGGGTGAGAAGGGCCACCCACCAGTGGTTCTGTGTCTTTATGACTATGTAACGCGACCAGCATGTAAACATCCGGGATTCTTGAGATAGCCAATGTAACGCGGCACTCTTTGGTTACTGAGATAGCCAATGTAACGCGGCACTCTTTGGTTACTGAGATAGCCAATGTAACGCGGCACTCTTTGGTTGTTGAGATAGCCAGTATAGCGCGGCACTCTTTGGTTGTTGAAATAGCCAGTATAGCGCGGCACTCTTTGGTTGTTGAGATAGCCAATGTAACGCGGCACTCTTTGGTTGTTGAAATAGCCAGTATAGAGCGGCACTCTTTGGTTGATATTGAGGTCTGTGGTCCAGGGTGTAAATAAAAGCAACTATCCCACCTGCTGCCACCAATTATCACCAGAATATCCTAATTACAGTATGACTCACCTGTGGTTCAATTTGTTGTTAGTGTTTTGGTGTGAAGGTCAAAGGGAACCAAATCCCCTTCCCGTGTTTCCTCTCCCTTCCAAAGGAGTCCTTGTCCCCTTGACGCCCCCCGAGGAAGGAGAGAAGTAGTGCGTGGTGAAGGTCGCGTTCATGTGTTGGGGGGCGGCCCTACACAGCTCGCTGCCGTCCCTCCTCTCAGTGCTCTTCCGCCGCCCACACCGTTCACACCTCTGCCCACACATCCCCCCCTTCACTCAACTGGATAACCTTGTGAGCCTTTTAAGTAAATAATCAGATACTAATTTTTTACTGATTAAAAGTATTCGTGTTAATTCTTTTAGTGAGTCAGACACGTACTGTTAAACTCTTGGGATATTTGTGTTATTTATAAACTGTGTTAAAGAAAGAGAATACAATAGCTGACACACTTTGTACATGATGTGTCAGGTGTTAAGTGTGTATAGTGAAATGTTGGATTGTGTTGTGTAGGTGTAGAAGAGGGTGAGTGAAGTGGTAAAGTGTTTGGGTGTATTAGAATGTGTCTGAAATCTCTAGGTGTAGGAATGGCATTGTGTGGGTTTATTACAGTGTGAGGAAGATACTCTGATGTATTTAGGTGTCGGGGTGTGTTGTGTAGGTGTAAAAGAGTGTGTATGAAGAGGAGGGTGTTAATTTAGAGGAGGAGTGCCAAGGGTGTGTGTACAGGGATAAAATACAGTAACGGGGCTCTTGTTTACCATAGAGCCAGGACGCGTCATAGTACATATTGCTGTGTGTGTAAGGTGACTGTGGAGAGGTGATTCAGACTGAAGGTGACTGTAGAGAGATGAGTTAGACTGTAGGGAGGTGTAGTCAGACTGTAGATGACTGGAGGAAGGTTAGTGAGACTGTAGGTGACTGTAGAGGTGAGTCAGACTGTAGGTAAGTGAAGTCAGGCTGTAAGCACTTCCCAAAATCAGAATCCAACTGACATCAAACCTGACCATCTGGAAAACTTTCTCTGTCAGCCACCCTCCCACACCACACCTTCCCTCATACACCTCACCTTCCCTCACCCATCACACCTTCCCTCACCCATCACACCTTCCCTCGCCCATCACACCTTCCCTCGCCCATCACACCTTCCCTCCCACACCACACCTCGCCCATCACGCCTTCCCTCATATCCATCACGCCTTCCCTCATTACATCACCTTCCCCCACACCACACATTCCCTCACCCATCACACCTTCCCTCGCCCATCACGCCTTCCCTCCACACATCCACCCTTCCCTCATACACCTCACCTTCCCTCACCCATCACACCTTCCCTCACCCATCACACCTTCCCTCGCCCATCACACCTTCCCTCGCCCATCACACCTTCCCTCCCACACCACACCTTTCCCCCACACCACACCTTCCCTCACTCACCACACCTTCCCTCCCACACCACACCTTCATCTCCCACTCCCCTGTTCTTGCCACTGGTTGGACGGATATAAGAGTAACATTATCCAGGTGTTAAGCAGAATCTGTGTTTGGTTACGATTATGTTTACTTCAGCTAGGCAGGTTTGACGTGTGTGTGTGTGTGTGTGTGTGTACTACAGTGAGGTGCTAAAGGCTTGGTCCAGGAAGAGGGTCGACTAGGATTCCCTCACTGACTATTTAATGTTGTGTTAGTTAATTGACGTCGTTGGCATTAATTATCACACCCCATTATCAAGCGCCATTGTGTTTAATTTAGTTAATTGTTGTCATCAGCGTCGCGTGTCGTCACCAAGGTTATTGTCGTATTTAAGATGGTATTTTTGGGGACAAATGGATAATTTATGTTTGCTTGTCGTGTCGTGACATTTTACTTTTTAGCTATTCATTCCCGTCGCCCGTCTGTTTTTGCACGTCACCACACACACACACACACACACACACACACACATCATCGTGACTCATGTACGCACATTGTTAACATTCTTTCGTGTTGACGCCAAAGGTTCTGGGATTATTTCTGTGTCTAATAACAGGCGAAGAAAACTTGTATTCAATTAGTATAACAGATAAATCATTGGGGTGGGGGGAGTGTTTCATGTTAGTGTTCTTTACCTCCCGTGCAACACAATGCAGACTCCGGTGCTGTGTTGGAGGCTGAGTGTTGCAGACCTTACCACTTACCCCAATAGTATGCTTTAAGATAGTTGATTTTAAAGGAAAGAAATCATCATGACTAATATACCACTGACTCATTATGTCAACAAATGTCTGGCTAGTGTTGTTGATGGGTGTTTCCATGGCAACTTAGTGACTACCACGTGGCCAGAACTCAGACAACAGACGGATATGAGACGATCAATACTGCCTACTCCTGGTGATGGAGTGGAGGGAGGGAAGGAGGGGAAGGGGGGTAAGGGGGTAAGTAAAGTTTATATCTATTAATACCTCAACTCCTACAACATAGAGCTTCCGAGGCCGTGACCAGTTTCTTAGTATTATTTATAGCAATATGTATGTCCGAGCGGCTGGTCACTTCTTCAGAGACAAACACTTGGAACATTTGAATTTTTATCCCGTTTTCTTTGTCATGGTAGACTATATAATGTATTTTTTTTCCTGTGTTTCTCTTTGTTGTTTGTGCTAGTCTCTTGTTTGACGGTCGTAATAAATTGCTGTCTTAAGTCACGTGTTCAGAGGGTAACAAGGTAGTCTTAGGCAGATGTATACATTTTTTTGGAGTCAGGTGTATATATCATGTCTTGAACAGGTGTACGTAATATGTTGCCTTAAACAGTTGCATATAAACTTATCTTAAACAGGTGTGTGTGTGTGTGTAAATTGATTATTGTCTCTTAGGCAAGTGTACATAAACTGTTATCTTGTTCAAATACACATATAAGTGTTCAAATTGTTCGTGTGTACCTAATCCATTGTCTTAAGCAGGTGTACAACAGATGTCATTTGTCTCCCCTCAGGTGTACCTGTACCGAGGCCAAGTACACCTGATCCCCGTGGCTTCCTCGCCCGCCTCCCTCACACCACTACCCGCCGGCACCCCCTCCGTCATGGACGCCGTCAGCACCGTCAGACGCCTCCCAGAACACACCAAAGCAACGCCTCAGATCCAGAAAGCCATCACCGTCAAATTGGATGGGTCAGTTTGGTCTGGTCTTTTAGTGTGGCTATACTGTACCTCCCTGTAAAGTGAAACCTCTATATAACGGACTCTCTCTCTCTTCATATAATCCGTGAGATGGGTTCACTTCAAACGGACCCTCGATATAACGGACTTTCATCTCCATATTAGTCCGTTAGCGAGGTTCCACTGTACTAACCTCCTGCTGGGGGGACACCTTCAGGGTAACTGGTCGTCTCACAGGTTCTGGCTGGTGGTAACTGATCACCATAGAAGAAGAGTTATCACCATTGTTGTCTCATTTGTAGCACCACTAAGAAACTTTGGGCTTAGTTTTGGTGATAATTTAGAAGAACAGTGATTTAAATATTCTCACTATTAATTAACTTTATTCTTAGGTTAGGTTATGGTTTGGTTAGGTATAGGGGACAGGTGTAAGGTGTAGGAGACAGGTGTAAGGGACAGATGTAAGGTATAGGAGACAGGTGTAAGGTGTAGGAGACAGATGTAAGGTATAGGAGACAGATGTAAGGTGTAAGGGACAGATGTAAGGTGTAAGGGACAGATGTAAGGTATAGGAGACAGGTGTAAGGTATAGGAGACAGATGTAAGGTGTAAGGTGTAGGAGACAGATGTAAGGGATAGGTGTAAGGGGACAGGTGAGGCGGTGTTTTACTTGCTTCGTGTTTACGTTTTTATAAGACTCGTGGGAAGTTTTTATGAGTATTATTATTATTATGGTAATGAGTGTGGGGGGGGGGGATTCTCCTTGGCGGAAATGTGTCGAAACCTTGCCTCACTTTCCCTCCCTCATCGTCTGGTCTGGCGGCTAGGATGTATAATGGAAGGGTTTGTGTGTGTGACTCACCGCTCCATAATCCCTCTTACCTTAACAATCCGCCGCTAATCAGAAATTATATGTAAAGAAAAAAAAACCCGCCCGACATGATAGTCTTGTAGCGGCTCCCCCACCGTACTCCCCCAACACATCACTCCACCACCACCACCACACTCCTCTAACACATCACTCCACCACCACTACACTCCCCCAACACATCACTCTACCACCACATCACTCTACACCCCACCACCACCACACTCCCCCAACACATCACTACACCACACACCCCCCACACCACAGTCCCCCAACACACCCCCACACCACAGTCCCCAACACACCCCCACACCACAGTCCCCAACACACCCCACACCACACATTTTGGACGTTCTATTAAAAGCCTGACCAAGATAGCTAAGAACAACATAGAAGGTTCCATATATAGCTGGCCACTGAGTCGATCTCCTTGACTGAACTACCACCACCACCACCACCTTTAGCCACGGAAGTCGGTCTCAGTATCGTCGTTTTGGGGCAGAAGAACCCGAGGGAGAGGGGGCGGACTAAAGCGAGACCTATGTATTGTGTTCAGCGTTACAACTTGCCAATAATACCATGGGGATAGGTTAAGTGATAAGGTTCTATGGACTGTATCTCGGCCACGGTAGAGTATCTATTTTTAAAGGTCTTGTATCTTTGTGGTGTGTATCGCTTTAAGTGAGGTGTTATTTAGATGCGTTTGTGTACGAAAGGAAAGTCGATGGCTCGTTGCGGAAGTGTGTGTGTGTGGGATCAGGTGCCTAGAGCTGGTGTCGGGACCTCCGTTTGGGATGTAGCTGTGTTTAGTTTTAGTAACACCCCCTCCCCCCCCCACACACACACATGACCTAGCAGGAACTCCAAGATATCTTTTGCTATTTTTTTCCCACGCACCTTATGGCATTGAACTGATGTACGCGAGTAAGAAAAATGTTACTTCCTAGGATCACACGTGTTGGATTACGATACACACACAGGCCAGGGTCAGTGTCCAGGTCAGGCGTTTGCATTGATTTTCTGCCCCTGGGGTTAATTAAGGTGATAGATAGGTGTTGTGGGAGGTAATGTATGTAAGTGGGTGTTGTGTTGTGTAAGTTATTAATTTATGTACGCCTGAGCGGCTACCCCCCTGCACTGCCCCCCCCACCCGCAGGTAGTACCCCCTTACTTGTACTACCCCTTCCCACCACAGGTACCATCCCCTCCCCTACAGGTAACACCCCCCCTCACATATTACTCACTCCCCCTTACAGGTACCCCGGAAAGATCAGCCGGGAGCAGTACGTGGCTCACGCCTACGTACCGGTGGGCGTGGCGGCGCTGCTGAGGGAGTACCCTACCTTGGTGGGCCCCGCCGTCAACGCCTTCTGCAAGAGAGACATTATCGACAACAAGGTAAGATACAGGGCTGTCCTAGTTTGTACTGTGGGAAGTCTGTGTGGGTGTTGCTGTGGAGAGTCTGTGTGAGTGTTACCGTGGGAAGTTGTGTGGGTGATGCTGTGAGAGACGTCCTAGTTATTGGGGGAAAAAACATTTAAAAAAAATTGAAGGACATCTTTAAAAAAAAATTGAAAACTAATTTGGACTCTACAAATTCAAGAGGAATTTATCAACATCTAGAGTACGATGTCAACCCCATTGGTACAATGAATTATGAGTGCAGTATCTTAACCCCTTGAATTCCATGACTTATATCCTTGAGTACGATGACTTAACCCTTTGAGTACCATGTCTTAAGTCCTTGAGTACCATATCATAACCCCATTAGTACCATGCCTAATCCCTTGAGTACAATGAAGGACAAAAAAAGGTTCAATAAGATAAAATAACTTACCTCAACCAATTAACCTGGAGAGAAATAGTCAAGAAAATATGGAAAAAAATTGTAGTTTTTAAAGAATGTTTGGAGTCGATAATGTCCTAGTTCGTGTCGTATCGTGTTAGTATTCTCGACGACGCTGATGAATATTTGATTGAGGAAATGACACAGATGAGAAGAGTTGTACAGTCTAAGTTTATTGGGGTCCCGTGTGTGTCTGCAAGGAAGTAGGTCAGAGTGGTCCAGTGCGTAAGTGACAATGAGTGCGTCTGGGTACACAAATGCGTTCCCTCAACCTCACTAAATAATGTCCTATAAAGTGTCTGTCTGTCTCTGTAGCGAGTATGTACTGTAGTTCCTGTAGTCTCTATTGGCTGTAGCTATACTTGCTCTAGTTATACCTTCTCTACTGTATAATTAATATATATATATATATATATATATATATATATATATATATATATATATATATATATATATATATATATATATATATATATATATATATATATATACCTGTCTACTGGCAATATACCTATCCATTCTACATACCTGTTACCTCTGTCTATCATAATTATATACTTAGTCACTACAGATATATTTCCTCTCTAAATTACCTGTCTATTGTTTGTACCTGTCAGCTATACTAATACCTGTCACTTCTAGCCTGTATATACTACCTGTCCGTTTGTAATTCTGTATTTACTGTATTCCTGTACAGACTTTGAGCACTGAAACACCATTGTTGATTTGGTGGGCCGGATGGTTGTTGTTTAGGGAGGCTGGATAGTGGTTGTTGTTTAGGGAAGCTGGCTAGTGGTTGTTGTTTAGGGAAGCTGGCTAGTGGTTGTTGTTTAGGGAAGCTGGATAGTGGTTGTTGTTGTTTAGGGAAGCTGGATAGTGGTTGTTGTTGTTTAGGGAAGCTGGATAGTGGTTGTTGTTTAGGGAAGCTGGCTAGTGGTTGTTGTTTAGGGAAGCTGGATAGTGGTTGTTGTTGTTGGGAAGGGATAGTGGTTGTTGTTGTTAGTGGTTGTTGTTGTTTAGGGAAGCCGGATAGTGATAGTGGTAGTGGTTGTTGTTGCTTTAGGGCTGGATAGTGGTTGTTGTTGTTTAGGAAGCTGGATAGTGGTTGTTGTTGTTTAGGAAGCTGATAAGTGGTTGTTGTTTAGGGCTGGATAGTGGTTGTTGTTGCTGATAGTGGTTGTTGTTGTTTAGGAAGCTGGATAGTGGTTGTTGTTTAGGGAAGCTGGCTAGTGGTTGTTGTTGTTTAGGGAAGCTGGATAGTGGTTGTTGTTTAGGGAAGCTGGATAGTGGTTGTTGTTGTTTAGGGAAGCTGGATAGTGGTTGTTGTTTAGGGAAGCTGGATAGTGGTTGTTGTTGTTTAGGGAAGCTGGATAGTGGTTGTTGTTTAGGGAGGAGGCTGGATGGTTCTGGAGTGAGGGAGGGAAACGGAAGGAGGAGGGTAGGGATGGAAGGGAAGGAGATGAAGAAGATTGGAAGGAGGAGGAGGAGGGAAAGAGAAAAACTTGGTAACGAGAGAGAGAGAGAGATTTATTGGCGTGGAGAGAGGGAATCCAGGTAAAAAAGTCACAGGAAAAAAAAGAAAAGTTAACTATCGAATTCTCACATTTTTTAAGGTTAATATGTCAATCAGTTTCAGTAAAGGAATATGCAGAACTGATGGTAACCTAACTTAACCTTTATTACCGGCCACCATAAATTAATTGTGACTTTTTTCCTAGCCAAAATTGTGACTTTTTTCTGCGACTTTATTACCGGCCACCGAGAGAGGAGGGGTAGGTAAGGAGAGAAGGAAGGGGCTACAGAAGGACTTGAAGGAATGAAGGAAGAGGTCAGCCTTGTATTGTGGTTGAGAGTGCTTGGACCAAGCGGTTGTCATGGCAGTGATGGTGGTTATGGTGTGTCACTGTAACAAGGGCGGCCTGGCTCTCTTTCTCTCTCTCAACTGCTTGACATGATTGCCCTCCTTTCCCTGTGCCACTATCCCCTGTAAACTTCCCCCTCGTCCCCTGTCAGTAGTACCACCACACACAGTACCCTGCTGACCCCTATACGTGAAGACTATAGCGTGTGTGTGGGCGTGGGCAGGGTGTTTTAGGTCATGTGGTTCTTGTAGTTTCTTGCTGGTCACGGTGGTGGTAGAGGTACTTGTGGTGGAGGTTGTGGTAGTGGTGGTAGTGTCATGGTGGTCATGATAACGGTGGTAGAGGTGGTCCGGGTAGTAATAGTGGTAGTGGTGGTTGGTGTCAGTATGTAAAGCTTGGATGGGTCTTGTAAACAACAGCAGTAAGCCACATGATAGTGTAATAGCTGTGTTAACTGATGCAGCGGGCTTTGTTGTAAGCTCTCTCTCTCTCTCTCTCTCTTTAACACTGCCAGAGCGATGGTATGGTGATGAGTCATTTTTAGTGTGAGTCAGGCAGTCAAGTTAGTCAATCCGGCAGTCTTTGAGTCAGCCAGTCAATCAATCAGTCAGTTAACAGTTAAGTTAATAGTCAGTCAGTGAGTATTCAGTCAATCAAAAGCCAGTCAGATGCAAGAATGAACTTAACGGAGTAAACATTAAGATGTTTAAACACACAAACATTGAACTTGGCTTAACAAAGAATAGCCTCAAAAGATTACATACACTTGATACTCTACCTTAACCTAACTAAGCCCTAACCTAACTAAAACTAACCAGATCTAACCTAACCATTATCTTTGTATAATTACGCGTCAGTACACATAATTAAAGTTACAGAAACGTAAGTATAGTTAATCCTTTTGAGTTCTGAAGAGTTAAATCATTATCTTCAAAGGTTAGGTTGTATAGGTGGTGTTGTACAGGTGGTGATGATGTTGTACAGGTGATGGTGATGTTGTACAGTTGGTGGTGATGTTGTACAGGTGATGGTGGTGTTATACAGGTGATAGTGGTGGTGTACAAGTGAGTGGTGATGTTGTACAGATGGTGGTGGTGTTGTACAGGTGATAGTGGTTTGTACAGGTGATAGTGGTATTGTACAGGTGGTGGTGATGTACAAATGATGGTGTTGTACAGGTGGTGAGGTGTTGGTGAGAAGCAGTAGGGGTTGTGATCGATGTTGCACGTCAGGCAGAGTGCACACCTGAGCCTAATGACTAGAGGCAATCTCTCTCTCTCTCTCTCTCTCTCTCTCTCTCTCTCTCTCTCTCTGCATTGTGTTGTACGTGTTTATATTTTAACATTAGTTTGTGTATAGCCGTGTATAAATGCGTATTTCTTTGTTTGTATATACTTACATCCCTGTCTGTATCTCCGTGTACGCGTGTATGTATATGTACGTGTCCTTGTGCGTGTTGGCAGGTTATACGCACGCAACCTAAGCACAGCCAGACAGGAGCGAGATGATAGGGTGTGACCTTTGTCCTGTGGCGTAGAGCTTCCTGTCCCACCACCACTGGGCAGTAAATAGTACATTATTCACTAGACATTTTTAGGTCAGTCAATCGATGCACATACTGTAGTGTATAGGAGGGCGTTGGCCGGCCCCGCCCCGCCCCCTTCCGCGCTATGTGGGTCAAGGTGTAGCCACAAAACTACCACCTCGTGTAGGGAAGGGGTGTGTGTGTGTGTAAGCTAGGGTTAAGCCCAGGTGAATGAGTGGGGGGTAATTAACCGACATGAATATCCAGGTAATGTGTCACGGAAAGGTGGGCGGTCTAGTGTTGGGTGTACATAAGGTCTGTTTTGTCTTAACCAACATCCGCAGTCGTCTAATACTTAAGGTTTTTCGTCTCTCAGCCAAGTGTTATAATTAATGTATTTACTAACGGTATCCCCCCCCCCTCAAGTGAGACGTTAATCTGAGGAGAATTTTACAGTGAAAGTAACATAATTTGATGACGTGGTGAAGGATGAATATTGTTGTGGTGAGGAAGTAAGTATACCTGAGGTCGGGGTTCAGTGAACGGGCTGGGTGTGTGAGCGCTTGGTCAGGGGAGGGAGGGAGAGCCACACGTCCAGTTCGGTCTTCCGTCCCTACACATTCCTCGCACTTCAGGCGGCCAGGAGCGGCGCCACGCAGTCTGAGCCTGTCAGGGCAGGCTAGAATTACGTAAGGAAGGCTTGGGTAGTAATCTGACAGGCTGGGGGTAGTATCTGACAGGCTAGGGGGCAGTGTCTGGGGGCGACATTACTCAACAAAACGACTTTTCTAACCTTCCAAGCGCCATGTTCCACCTGTCATGTAGACGTCACCTTCCTCCACCTCCCACACATTTAACCTGGCCTTGTCTAACCTTCACACACACACACACACACACACACTATAATTATCGGCTCTTCACATAAACTCATGACAGCGAAGCGTACGGCCATGAATGTGTCTAGTGTTTAGTGGTGTGTGTTTCCGGGGGTGTAAAAGAAGTTATTGAGGGAGGGAGACCTTTGTTTTGTTGTGACCGTGGAGGAAGACCCCCTTCTTCTGGGGGTAGGAGTGTGATCCTGTTGATGTTCTCGTGTGTGTGTGTCCCCACCTTGGTAACACTGGACTGTATAAGTTTTTTGTTTTTTTTTTACTGTAGAAGGTTGTAGCATTAACTGTATGTTTAAAGGTGACTGTATAAAGTAGTGAGAGTTTATGTTGGTGGAGTAAGACAGAGGAGCCCCAGGCAAGGTTGTCACTACCTCTTGCTGGTGCTTGTCACGGTCACGTCACCATACTGAGGGAGGGAGGAGGAGCGGCTGTGTGGGTGAAGGAGGGAGGCAGAAAGAGCGGCTGTGTTGGGGAAGGAGGGGGAAAGGAGTGGAGGGAAAGGGATCTGTATATAGGAGGGAGAGAGGAAGAGATGATTGTGAGAGGGAGGGAATGAAAGGGGGCTGAGGGAGAAGTGACATTACTGCTGAGGGAAAGAGAGGAGAATAACAGGAAGGGCGAGGCCGTATGAGTCACAGTTTCAGGTAAGACACACAGGTATGTATTTTTTTAAAAAGAGTGGCCAGCGGTCAGCAGACAGGGCCCACTAATATTACCTCACTACACAGTAACTTACGTCACTCACCACCACCATGTTAAGCAATGACTGTATTAGGCACTCCTCAACATGCTCATTGAGTATCTGGGTTAAAAAGGTTGGAATTTTAGCCACCTTTCGTCTAATGGCTTGAAAAAAAATTCATCAATCATGATTACTCACCTGTAATTTGTCCATATTGATTTTGAGGCATTTTTCTACTATGGATGTACTAAAAGTAATTTATTGTGATAGTTTTTAATTCCGACAAAAGAGTAACAGTCACTGGCCTGGGTATTGGACCGAGCTCTTTCAAGGCAGTTTATAATGTCTGTGGGTGGGAGAGAGATTTCCACCTGACTGAAATATTTATGATTTTTAGTGATGGTTGTGACTGGTAGGTATGTTTATGAGTATTTTAAATATATATGATGTAATGCTTGTAACAGGTTGTGTATGATCGATATATAGTGGTTGGTTGTGTATGATCGATATATAGTGGTTTTGTTGTGTCATGAGGCATGTACAGTTGGGTCTTCATTTACGCGGTCAATTGAACCTGTGGAGGCCCGCATAATACTAGAAACGCGTAAATGAAATAACAGAACATATGGCATTAATTGAAATAGAGACTGGGCCGACCCCCAAACTCCACTTTTAACGACAATACGTACCTTGTAGTCAAAATAACATCTTAATTTTAAGATGGTATGCACACACAATTAATAATTAAGAGAAATGTCAATAATATTAGGTTTTTTAACACTTACATTAGTAGAAAAGATGGCTGGGCACACGGGGATGGGGAGTTGGTTCCGAGGCAGAGGGCAGATTAGTGGCCCTCACCTGTATCACTTGTATCACTATCCACCACAGAGGCTTGCAGGGCCTCTTTGTCAAACCCCTCAAAGTTCATATAAGTCCATATCCTCACTATCACTGACTTGGGCCGGCTGTGGCGGGTGAAGAACTCAGTAATGTTTTGATGACTGGGCGACCAGCCCTGCCCGCGTAAATGACCAAATTTGCCGCGTAAATCAAGCATTTCAATTCTGGCAAGGCACCGCGTAAATGACAAAACGCGTAAATCAAAAGGTGTAAATCCAGACTCAACTGTAATGTTATGATGTGATTAATTTTTACAGCCTGCATGAATCGTGGTAACGGATGGTGGGTAACGGGAAGCAATGTTCATGACTGTTGATACTACTTTGTAAGTTATGTTTGGGACTAGCCCACACTACTAACTCTTGGGTAACGATTTTAAAAGGAAGCCTGGAAGCCGAATTTTTGGATTACAACAGGGACTTATAATTATGAATGGAAGTAATGTTTCTCTGGCGATAGTGTGGATTACTTAAAGATTAGACACCCTAGCTTATTTCACCTAATGATTAAACACCCTAATACTACCGGGGGAGGGGGGGGGATTTTGGTTAGCATCAGGGTAGGTTAGATAAGGTTAAGTTTGTGTTAGGTTAAGTTAACATTAGGGTAGCTTCAGGTTAACTTAGGATAGCATTTGGGTGTTTAATCATAAGGTGATTCAGTACTGTTGTGGTTAGTGGTAAGGTCTGACTGATAATATTAATATTTGTTACAGGTACAGTATACTAATGCCACGTCAGAGCAGGTCAAATGTATGTCTTTACCAGTGCCGGATTTAGACCTGTGGAGGCCCATGGGCAGCCTCTTTGTGGAGGCCCCCCCTCATTATAACTACCCAAGAGGGTGGGGTGGCAAGTGAAGCGAGCCTAAACATCTGGGAGTTCTGGGGGGCGCTGTAAGCCCCCCGGGAAAATTTTGAAATTTGAACACTTCTTTGGAGAATTTTGAAGCCAGATGCAGTTATATTGAGGAAATTAGAACATTGAGAAATTTTTAATTAACTGTATATTTATTGATAGTGTACAAATTCCCAACACACACACAAAAGTGAGTAGCTAGCCTAATTTCTATCACGCTTCTTGCTGAACATAGTTTTACATGATGGAATAGATAAACATGAATTTTAAAGAATGAAAATAAAAATAATCCAAATGAATAAACAAATAAATAAAATATTGTAATATGTGGAGGCCCCTGGGCAGCTGCCCACTCCTGAATCCGGCCCTGGTCTTTACCCCCATAGTAAGTGGATAATAATAATTAGATGTGAGCTATGTAACAGGTAGTGGTGGGATGGGGTCAAGGGACAGGCTGAGAGGCTTCATACTTTAAATAACAAATGGATTTGATGATGAATGTGAATATTAAGGGGCTTCAGGTAGTAATCTAGTAATCATCAACTATACGGCTTCATGAGTAAGGTCAGCTCATGCCAGTTACAGTAAAAGCAGAAAATAGATCTCCCAAACCATTACAGTCAAGAGACATACACTAAATATCTCTGATTTACATGTGTGGTGAGGTGTGTATTTACAGATATTGTGGGTGAGGCTGTAAGGCGGGTTTCTCATGTTTGTGTGCTGGACTATGTAAGGATTATCCAGAGCTGGAGTACTGGTAAGTCATCTTTTTACCCATCATAGAGAACAGCTATGTTTGTTTATGGTCAAGAGGACTTGGGTTGCATCCGGGATAAGGAATAAGAACTCTTCCACAATCCACCCTAAGAGATGTAAATACAGCTACTCCCCGACTTATGACCAACCCGGACATATGACCGCCTCAGTCGTACCAAAATTTTGTCAAATTACGTATTTTCGAGTCCCAACGTCAGTGATTGCGCCGTGTACTGACAAAGTTTTCGTTTGTAATTCACTTTAAAATGGCTGGCAAGCTTAAAAGTGAGAGTTTTGCAGTGCTGAGAAGAAAAAGAGACACCCAATTTAGATTTTCTATGTATTATTTAAGCATTTTTGACTTACGACCTGGTTTTGGGTCCCTAACCCCGTCGTACATCAGGGAGAAGCTGTTTTGCATTACATTTCCCTCCCTCTACCATCCTTCATTCCCCTCCCCCTCTCTCCTCCTTCCCTCCCCCAAATCTCTTTCCTCACTTCCTCTTCACACATTGCTCAATTTTGTATGTAACTTTAAGATATTTTTTCAGGCGTTACGAGTTATGCGGCACTTTCCACCCGAGACTCGTGTGATGACTGCAGTGCGCTTCAGCAAGTCTCTTTATGCTCAACTGTCAGCTCATCGCTACTCGCCAGACGCTCGTACTGGCTGGAACTTGCCCTCTCCTCTACATAGTGATTTTAAAACCCATGACACTGGCATGAAACTGGTGAGAACAATCTTGTGCCAAATAAGAATCCTGTGCGGTATACATTTTATGTGTTAATAGGAAATCAGATGTAAAATTCAATACAGTATGAAAGTTAGTATCTGCCAATAGATTTATCTTTTTATACTCATCTTGATCAGTGATTTTATTTTATCTTTGAGAAATACAGTAATCAGAATGTGTAATCCATTGCATCACACATATAACTTGCTTGCAGGCTTGTGGGTTTGAGTTGTTGGTGTGTAGTGCTGGTGGTGTGACCCCAGCCTCCACGCCCACTGAACCTTCTCCACCAGATGTCAGCTCACAACTTGATGTAACAAACAATCCACGGTGGGAGCGTTATCGCCAATCTCTCGTTGAAAAGGGCTATTTTCGGGTAGGTGTAAGAATGTATTAGCAGTATGGGCTCATGATCAAACATCCCTTTCTTCATGTGATAGTGTGTGTGTGTGTGTGTGCACGCGTCAGTATTTTCATATTATCTTTTAACAGGGTGAGTTAGAGGGATCGGTGCTCTACAAAGATCTTGAGGAACGTGCCCGTCAGTTTTTCGTGAGTCACATCTTGTCCGGTGAGAGTTCAGAAGACAATGATGTTCTGTCTGCTGGATCCATTATTATCAAGCTGCTGGGAAAGATCAATGTGGATTACGAGTTCTACAGGGAGCGAGCAACTCGACTTGTTCCACCAGATGGTTAGAATACCAGTGGATTATTAACTAAATAATCATAATTGCAAAAGTTATCCAGGGTGTTTTTACTCTGCTACTCTACTCTAAGTGACTGCTGTTAAATACCCACATAATTACTATCTACAAAGCTGGTGGTACAGGGGAGTAAAGTTTCTCTTAACACATTCCTATACTTACAGATGACAGCTGGCTACACATCACCCCAGATGCTTTGGATGAATTATTGGAAACTCAATTTGGTAGTAAGGATGCTCCTAAAGGTGCCAGTGAGACAGAAATGATGAATTCACTCACAGCATTCCTTGGGCACATGTCTGACCTAGAGGGTGCTGAGGTGCCCAAAGACCTACAAGACCGCATCAGGAAACTTTCTACACTTTCTACTGGACGAAAGGGCAGCAAAGGGAGAAAACCATCTAGCCTTATGGTACATCCTCAAGTTCGCAAGATCTCTTCACAGTCCAATGCTTCTGATGCATCTGACATGTCTTCATTCTCAAATAAAGTCGATTTCAATGCAGATGCCTTCACTGATGCTATGGCTAACATCTTAGGTAAGTATATTCATAACTGTACTTTGATAATGAAATGTACTGGAGGCAGTGTTTTGGTCGAATTTTCTATGACAATTCACAATATATAGCAACCAAAGGACATTAAAGAAATGCATCACTTACTTTTTTGTTGTTTGAATGCAACTTTTTTTTTTTTTAATTTTTGTGCCTGTCTACACAGGATACTTCGAGGCACTGTCCATCCATTAACATTTATTTTACCTTCTGAAGTGTTGAAAATATCTTAATATATTATAACAATCACATCAAAGGCCATAAATAGCCCCATTATTGCACATTTGCTTTGGTGCTGGTATTTACTGTTTACCTCCATTGAATAATTCCCGCGTCATGTGCTGTTAGTAGTAGTTTTTTTTTTTTTTTTTACCATCCAAATTTTGTTTAGCTATATTAAACTAAGGTGTTTACATGGGTTATTTCAAGATTTTTTGATTACAGTACATTAAAACTCCATAATTCAAAATAATAGGGGATGTAGCCCTTACAAACTACAGTATTTGATTTTATGAAATATGGGGGACTCCCTCTCCTGGGGGGGGGGGGGCACCAATACTTTTCCATTTACCCCCAATCAAAATTTAAACATCTTGGATGTTTAAGCTCTTGTATTGGCCTCTTGACATGACAGCTTTCTTCTTAGAGGTTCCTTTTGAGGTTCTTGGTCCAGGGTTATCAAACACTGGGCAATGATGGAAAAGCTTGTGCAGTAGATCGTAGATGTGCACTCCAAGACTGACCAATGCGAACTGAGCTACACACGTAATGTGTATAGTATACAGTACTTGTTTACACTGAGGTGGGCTAGTGCATCATGTGTGTCATATGTATTCAAAAATGTCTCTCATAGTCCAATTTTTTTTTCCAAATATTACCAAAATTTTAATATATTTTATACAGTACAGTACAGTATATCATAATATTTTGAAATGTCTCATAATTCAAAATTTATGTGGCAGCCAGGGCAAGGAATAAAACTGAACAGAAAATGAAGACAAAAATTCAGAAAATTGTTGGTAATTTTGAGTGATCCAGAGCCCCCTTTTTTCGTCAAATTAACTAGGGTATAGTGTACAGTGATGGCCCAAGTTGAAGAAAAAGATAATCCAGACAGTCCCCTACTTCATCTCTTTGGGAGTAGAAGTAATGCAGCAGTTTATCCTCCAGATACCCGATACCTATTTTTTCATATAATTTTCTTTTAATAATTGCTAATGTTATGTCATATTGATTTTCTAGTAGCCCAGAGTGCTTTAGAGTTGGTTTGAGGTGTTTAATTATTGGGTCAGAGGTTACGGTAGTAGTAGCTCCTCCAAGGGTGTGAACCACCCATGTTCTGGCATTGATCCAGCCTTGATAGTGCTGGAAAATTGGTATTTGACCTGTATTATCAAATTACTGTATAATGTAAAAAAAATCTTTTCTTTCTTTCTCTCCCTCAGAATTAGGTGTTCCTGAAGATGATTATTGGAATCATTCAGAGGACGAGTCATCAGGCATGAGTAGCTATGGAGAGGAGGACACAGGGGATGTTAGCCTAAGTCGTAAGTCCTCCAACACGTCTCAGAAATCTGCCGCGTCTACTGTGTCGGCGACTTCCTCTGGTGTGGACACGCAAATGAAGGAATATATGAGAGATATGGAAAGAGAACTCGTCACAAATCTTGGAGATTCTCTCATTTCAAACCACAATGGAAGCGACGGAGACGATGAATTTGACGACGTGGAAGACTTTGCACCAGTGAAGGTGGACATGCAAGCCGTACAGGACTTGGTAAAAACCTACACTGCACAAAATGGTTTGCCAGGACCAGCTTCTTCACTTCTGGGTTCAATGGGCATGAAACCTAAAAAAATTTAAACTAGAAATATATAACTTAAAAGCATTTCAAAGGGGTTCTGACAATATGTGAATACGTATAGCATAAATTATTGAGAGTAATCATTATTTTATTTATTGTATAATGCTTTTGGAAAGATATAATCTCATTTTTGGCAATAATTCTAATATAGAAATAATATATATACTGTATATATATTATGTGTGTCCTGTACAGTGAGGAGGGTTAATTTAATCCACTACGTATATGGAGAAGACTGATTTGATCAATGTGGCAGCTTTTTGCATAATTAATATAATGAATTAAAAACTTTGTTGCCGTGAGGGAGTTGTGGCATCAATTACTTTAGTTGTCTCCCCTGTGAGTGAAAAATCATCAGGAATGACTGTAAAGTCATTGATGTTCTGCTCAACTGTGATTCTATTTTAAGTTTTGTGTTGTTTTTGTTTACTCGTGAGGGGAAATACATATACCAATTTTCATGTTTTCTGTGGTTCATTTTTTCTACTAAAGTTAGATTGTAATAAAAAATATTCAATCTAGGAAACATTGTAGTATCAAGGTTTCCATTTTCTGTTTTTAAAATTTGGGGGAAATTCTTAAGGATATTGTAATAGCAAGTTGATGAGGGTCACATGTTTGCCAGTAAAGAGAAAGGGTATTATTTCTGTGGCCAAAACCTCAGAACAAAAACAGATTAGTCTTACTGTTGGCATTATTAATGAGTAAGGTGTGTTTGTGTCCGAGTTGTGCTGACTTAGTGGTAAGGATTCCGAAGTGGAATTTTAAGTTGATTTACTTAACATTATTCTGAGGCATTCATAGGTTAGTGAATACAAGATACTCACATCTTGTTCTGAGTCTGATGATATTTTTTAAATACTGTATAGAAATTTCAGAACAATTCATATACTGTATTATATATACATATATATATATTTTTTACATGAGTTTATACAATTACACTACAAATTAGGTTATTTTTAACACTACAGTCTAGTAAAATCTATCATAATTTATTGTATTTAATTAATTGGCATATTTATTTTAAGAGTATTCTTCTCTGACTTAATACAGTAATGTCACAATAAGAAAAATGTAATCTTATCCAGGTACGAAATATCTTCCAAAGATTTCCTTGACAACGAGTACAAGCTCTCTCTCTCTCTCTCTTTCTTTCTTGTATATGTTATCTCTGCAGTTTGTGACAAAGCTAGCAAATTCAGAGGCTACAGTATTCAAAAAAACTATTTTGTTACCATAATTGTTAGATTAAGACAATGAATATTAAGAGTTGCTTGAAGAATACAGTTGTAAATAAATTGCACAATTGTGGAACATATTATTAGCTCTTCAAAGTGACATTTGATTTGCTTTTGAACAATTAAACATTGTATATATCTGCAATATTACAGATAATAAATCAGATTACTGTATTGTATAACAAATAGTTTGATGTTAAAGCACATGAAGCCTTAATGATGGTAGGGTGTGACTGGTGATTTGTGACAAATTCCTTGCCATTTGCTTGCCTCTTCAAATGCTGTGACCAAGAGCTGACACTCTTGCATTAGAATGTCGATAAACCTTTTATAACTTTTTTTGGCAATAAATGTATCTGCATGCTGCCATTTTTTTTATTTTAAAAACTGTAATTAGTTTTGTAGAGTAAAGTGAAGAAGTGTTGTGATGGTTAAAACTTAAATTTTAAAAAGCTTCAGGTTGAAAGGTAATCACAAATTGAAGATGTTAAAAGGAAATATAGATTATCATACTATTATCCCCTAAACTGTAGCCAACATCCCTACTGTATAGGAACTGCATCCAACATCGGTAGACACCGTCCTTTCATGGTCAGATTTAAATGTTGTGCTGTACCAGTAGGTTTTAATCACCTTTATATACATTTTTTCAGTAATACAGAATAACTTTACCCTTTAAACACGTTAGTTTTCACTTTCAAGGAAAAACTGTCCTCCCACTCTTGTACTCGAAGCACTCCTTGTTTACCAAGCTAAAGAAGAGTGAAAGGAGGCCACGAAAAAGAAAATCAGGTAGGCACTTCATCAATGAATGGAAAAAAAAAAAAGACTCCATGGCCCATTGAAACACTCGGAAAGAGCAACAGGGAGTTGGGAATTTTACAGACATATTTATCAGTTTCGGTTATGGTACACATTGGCTTATGAAAATTAGAACTATGGGTCTACATTAATTCTGAAAGCTGGTCCTTGTAATCTAATCAGTTTTTAAACGAAATGCATAAATTAAAAAGGTCACAAATACTCTGATTGGCATACCCAATTCTTGTGATGTCAGCATTTAAGTAGATTGAATTACCCATAGCCATTAAACTTCGGGACAGGAGGCTTTGACAGGTTCTGATCAATGACTTAATTCAATACCAAAAATGACAATCCCCTAAATACAGTCACCAGGTTCTCTGATGGCTGTGAATCAGACATATAATTTCAGTATTAAATGGATATCTCGTAACTTGGTGAGGCAAAAAAAGGTTATTATAGATTTGGCTGGGAATTCATATACATCATCTGAGCACAATTTTCACTATTAAATATAGTAGAAGCTTTCAACATATACACAATGAATCTTAAATGCTTCACCTACTGGTAGGTATACATCACTTACTGCTACTCGTGTGTTACATCGTAATTTTAAATTTGTGATACACGGACAGGTTACAGGAATATATAGAAAATGGACAATACCTTTCACTAAAAAAAAAAAATCTCTCTCTAAGGGTAACTAGCTTGTTTCACACATGTTTTATGGACGACGGAGCATAATATAAAGAAGTATGGGTGTGAAAATACCATCAGTACAACTGTACCCATGACACTGGCTCCAAATTGTATATGTACCTGCACTAGTGTTGGTCAAGTTTGGTCTTGAAAGAGCTCACACTCGGTGCCATTAGAACGTGCTCTGGCGGATCGTTCCAAGAGTTTACAATTCTCACTCCAAAAAAGTTTGCCCCCCCACAATTTTCTGGACTTATGACTTCATCAACCTTGAGCTGTAACTCTTAGTGAACTGTATAATACCTACATTGTCTATGTACAGAACTGTATACTGTATCTAAAAGAAATTACTACTGCTACAGACAGAACATATAGTATTGTATATACTGAGGTACCATAGTAGTTGTTTTCATATATTTCTGTGTATTGTATCAACAATTAAGGTCTTTAATTAAGCACTTGTTTCGAGACAACTGCTAAAGATTAAAAGACCTATCTCACGTTTTATGGTTTAATTTTGACCACCTGCTACAGTCAGCATTGTCAACCCTAATCTCCGAGGGTTGTGAACCATGGAGTATGAACCCACATCCAAAGCATTCACTCCTCCAATATATGTCTTGAATGCGGTAGATTCACTAAACAAATGTCAATGTTTTCTGTTGTCAATCCTGATCTCCGAAAGTTGTGAACTACAGGAGTATGAACCCGTGTGATGTGGAGTGGGGGACCGGCGTGTGAGGAGGGTGTTGGGGGGATTGGGGGCTGGGGGGGGTTAGGATTGGGGGCTGGGGGGTGGGGTTAGGACTGGAAGGTGTCAACAGGGATGGGAGAGGAGCAAGGTAAAACATCTCCAGCTATAACCCAGTATTTATTAAGCAAACTATTAATACATAATAAAGAGAATAATGTGGTATCAGAAATTACCGGTAGTAAGTCTGCTGCTGTTACTGGTGTGGTTAATTATATATTAATATATTACTGACCAAATGTTGAGACAATAAATAAGTTAAAATGATACTTCACTTCCTCTCCTGCCCCCTCCCCCCACCTCCATTCACACTCACGGCCATCAGCCGTGCTCTGTTCCTCCAGGTCTTTCCCTCTCTCAGAAACGTGAGGAACTGTCATAACCTAGAATCAGGCATTCTCAAATCGAAGTCCAGACAATGTCATTACTTCTAAATTGACTCGTATCTCCATCCCTGCTTCGTCTGCAGGGTAGGTGGTGACGTCATTGCAAATGGCGGCCCTGTTTCTAGAGAAATAAAACTTATCTCGACTATTGTAGCAGGACTTTAAACTTTTATTACTAATTATATATACCGTATCACTCTACGAACATGGCAGAGTGTATTTCTTGTGTTTACCCAGAACCGCCAACTCGTCCATTTCAATAAAAATCAAAAGATAAAGACTAGGGGCAATGTTTTATTCTGTTTGATTGATTACCTTTTTTTCTGGGGGGACATATTTCTGTCGTTTTAAGGTGTATCAGGAACGTATAATTGTTTATGTTTGTATCCAATGTGCGAATGGTATTTGCCAAGGAAGATCCTATCTATCTATCACAAAATCGTACTCATCATTACTCTCCATAACACGAAGATCTGTGCATTACAGGTAGAAAACACCCTTCAAATGTATACAGTGACCCCTCGGTTAACGAACTCAATCCGTTCCAGAAGGTCGTTCGTTAACCGAAACCATTGTTTCAATGGGTTTTTGGGTAATTGGTTCCAGCTCACCGAAAATTTCCTAAATTCAACAAAAATGGTAGAAAAGTTCACTTACTTTTAGGTGTGTATGTAGAAGGCTCCTGGATGATGATGATGATGATGGGATTTAGAATGGGGGTGGAGGAGAAGGAAGAAGAGAAGGCATTGGGGTGGAAGAGAAGTCACCCCATGGCGCCATTTCACCCATAAAATTTTAGCTCTCTTGGTGTAATTCAAGATTATTTTCTTTAAATCAACACTGCACTGCATTATATATTGTCAATATGCAAAATATATTTCAAAATGACCAATAATTTGCTTGGAAACACAGAAAAAAAGCATTTAGTTGAAGAGAGTCTCAAGCAAGATGTTACCTCCAGTGAAAACAGAGAGACTAATGCCTGTTTGCTGTGTTAAGAGGCTGGATGCCGCGCATTAAACTAGTCACTTTACCTTCAATTATGTTCAATAATTGTTAAAATGATTAAAAAATTGAATATTAAACTTTTAAAATTATTGAATAGTATAAACTTCTTGATATTTACTAAAATAGTAAGGAATTTAAGCCCTAGAACCGATTAATGTATTGGCGGACTGATACTAAAGTTGGTTGCCCGGTCAGTGCAAGCGAAAACATGTTGAGGTCGGTTCGTAAGAAATTCGTTAACCGAATTTTTGTTCGTTAACCGAATTGAAGATCCTTATGGAAGGCAGTTCGTTAACCGAAATTTCGTTAACCGAGGCGTTCGTTAAACGAGGGGTCACTGTATATAGTACACTGATGTGGGATAAACACCTATTGCATTCATTTTGTTTAAGCGCTGCCTGGTGATGTAAAAGTCCTCCAAGCGAGTCTTAATTAAGATACACATTATCTTATCACTTTGATCCATCTTTACAGTAAACAACCCGTGTGGGCTCCATATTAAAACAAGCCCGAAATGTACTTTTTACATGTAATTTGGACTTATTCGGCTTAAAGGACTGGATAAAACAATACTGCTGTGGTAATTCGTTACCCATATAATCATCCTCAAAGTCACTCTCGAGGTACGGAAGGATAATTATGACTTTTGAGTACAGTGCCAATTCAAGAAATGTAGTTGTGTGAAATTCGACACCGTCGAGTTCACCATAATCTAATTTTCGTTTGACGCCATTCTTATCAATGTAGAATCCCTTCTACCAATCAGTGTTTTTTCTTCAGGAGGCCACATGTTCTTGAAGTCTCGTACCGCAAGTACACAAACTCTATAGCAGAGTTTACGAACAGCTTAATAACAAACTCGTTGAGACCCATCATAATATGGGTACTATTTTTAGGGAGACAACAGTGTAAGAGCGAGCAAGGTGGTCCATCCCACTCAATTTCCTCTGGCTTAAGGTTGACATAAAGTACGAAATAATCTATAGGAGAATACGAGGTGGTAGTCTTAGTATGCCTCAGGCCTCCTGGGGGACACACACACATGCCCTACAGCCCTAACCTCCTGGGGGACACACACACATGTCCTACAGCCCTAACCTCCTGGGGGACACACACACATGTCCTACAGCCCTAACCTCCTGGGGGACACACACACATGCCCTACAGCCCTAACCTCCTGGGGGACACAAACACGCCCTAGTGAGTTGCCTATACAACTATGAAATATGGTATGGGTTATAGAAAAATTTTTGATCAGAAAGTGTAAAGCTTTTATAAAAACTTAGTTATATTGAAAAATGCTTAGCCCCTGGAGGGGGAGGGTGGATATGTGGATAGGGTAGAGGGGCATATTATACTGTATGCTCCTAATAGTGGTGTTGTATGACGTCATTGATCTTTGGTCAATGAAATACTAAAGAATTGAAGAATGGAATCCAAAACAGGCAATACTCAGCCAATGAGAAAATAGAGTACAGTATTTGATGTAATGCATGAAAATATATACAGGTAGTTCTGCTATAACGCGATAATTGTGTTCTTGTAAAATATCGTGTTATAGAAAATCGCGTAATAGAAATAACAGGGCTTATGGAGAAAATAGGGTTAGGTGCAGATTACTCGAAATCGAAAAAATTTAGTAGTTAGCCTAACACAAAGGATAGCACAGTCTAAATAAATGTTACATTCATATCTAATAATGAAATCATACAGTAAATG